CCCCCCGTAATCCCTGCAGGCCTACAGAGTGTCTGTGCATGGTCGTGTAGCTGAGTGCAAATAGAGGGGAGTAAAAGCGTGCCAAGTAGGTATCACTTGCCCAGTTTGCCTCCATTACCGAGTCCTTATGTGCCTCCATCTTTAAGGCTGCTGTCAGTGGCTCTGAACACGAGCAGCGGCAACGTGAAGCTTTGATCTTGAGAATCATAGATCAATAAATCATGTAATGTGACATCAGCACCACACTGCACACTCATGTTTACCAACCTGACTGTAATGTTTTATATTGATTTAAAGAGATCGAAAGGTGGTGAGTCAGTCTTTTTCTGGATCAAGTGCTCTCTCATGCTGCTGCTTAAAATCCCGTCTAATGTTTCAGCATATCACGGTGTGCGGAGCGTAGACTATGAAATATGGTCGTCCTTGAAGGTACCCATGCGACGGAAGGTATGTACACTTTCAGCTGTCCTGATATCAATGGGGAATAGTTCACTATTTTTGGAGCCAGGATAGCAAATGGTGTGTTTAGGCTGAAAAAGAAAAAGCGAATTTTCCCAGCTTTCTGCTGTTTCTTTGGATGTCTCAAACTGAAGTTATTCTTTTCCTTGTGTTTTATATTGATGCGGGGGACTTTGGCTCAGCAGTGGATTCTCCACTTAATTTTCGGGTTGGAGGTTGGATCCCCAGGCTCAAATGCTATTTAAGTCCATTAATACCTGTGGGGTTTGGGCTTTTTAATGCTTGATTGAATGCTTTGGAACTACCTCCAAACAGAGTGGGATGAACTGGACTGTAACTAAAGCAAATAATCAAACCACCTACACCTTTTTTTCATATCTGTCTATCAACCCACTAATTCTGTATTTTACAATAGTAAAATCAATTGTTTCACTGGATAATAAACTAAAAGTGAAGCCTTAACTAAACCTATAAACCACAGTTCACCTGACAGCTGACCACATCCATGCAGCACAACCTCCAATAACAAAGAATAGGGCAACAATGGGGTATAGCTTTATATTCTGAGACGATGAAACAGACTCAACAGTCAAGGCATCAGACAGTGAAACAGCAGTGAAAGCTTTACCCCCTCAGATCACCACCAAGCTGTGAACTCTTCCTCCAGACACACACACAAATCTAGTCAAGCCGGGCATTTTGACCTAACTCTCTATCAGATGCGACTACAGAAGAAGTTTTTCTTTCCAAAAATAGTGAAAAGCAAGCAGGAGTGACTTGAATAACTTTTTCACTGAGATTGAAGGAACAGATGATGACAAGGTTAAATGAACCACTTATTTTATTTGTGCCACTGCTCAAAAAATTATGTATATTTATTCCAAGCACTAATTGGTGTATTTGCATAAAGGTTTTTGGGCAACTGTGAAATTAAATTTCCATAGGAAATCCACTTATTAAAGAAGAACACATTAAAAACATTTGTCTCTGAGCAAAAGATAGCGTCTTTACCCATGCACACTGCCAAAATATCGCCCGAAACAGCTCGAACAGCAAATCATGTTCCCTCGGAACACCTTATGAATAAATGCATACATTTGCTACATTTAAGTGGATTTAAGGGAAATCAAATAAGGGACACAATACATTCAGTTACTCATGGGTCGAATTGAAATCAAGAGTTATCAAAGAAGGTCATGTTGATGCAGGGCTGAACGATACTGCTAAAGCAAATCTTATATCGATAATAACCGATCTAATCAAGAAATATATTGCACATTTAATTAACATTACTTAAGAGGGGCCAGGCACAACTGCACATGTTTTACGTTTTTGTTGCTGTTTTGCGGTCTAATGCTGCATTCTAGACATCTACATATTTTTCATAATCTCATCAATTTAAAATGTCCAACCTCCAAGCTGTTTGGGAGCCATATATAAACCAAAACCATGGCAAACTGAATTTTATTAAAGTTATTTTTGGGCCAGCGAGTGACTTTTTGATAGATACAGTGCTAAAAAGCGGTCTATAGATGGGATGGCATTTCCGTAAATGTTCCGGAGTCTCAGGTGTCAAACCAGAGTACTTAGCAGACAACACCGCATGTCTGGCAAATTTGTAACTGACTTACTTGAACGCAGCACAATTGAGTGGGTGAACCATGTGTGTATGACCTTTAAACATGTATGTAATCATTAATAGTAGCATCATTTAATAATACAAATACAAAGCAATTCTTGTTTGCACTGATTCTTTTAAAAATCTATTTTGACAAATGAATGATCTTTCTCGTCATAGACATATGATTCATGCCTCATGTATCTTATGGGTTAAGCATGTGATATTGTTTTTGAGCCTAAGGTGATTAAAAAACGGATGATATATATATGCTCTTGGTGATCCATGACAACTCCAAACCTTCATTCTGTCGCCGGGCGGTTTTCAGGCAGCTTCCAGACTCTGATTGGTCTTTATCAGGTCATTTTGAGTCAGCACAGCGGTCACCGAAGTGTTAATTTCCGCTTCTTTCTCTCTGAGCGTTATTCAGAGCAGCAGGGCGACCGTCCTCTCGCACCGCGCAGATCTGCAACCGCCAAAAGCACAATATGAATTGATTCCTCTACTTATCTCGCCTGGATGTCCTTTAAATAGGAGGCTAATGAACGTCATGAGGTTGGTTGGATGAAACTCACACTCTGAGAATCCCACAAGCCATCCTGCCTCATGGCAAAGAGTGAATACTAAGATTCAAACATTATAACACACACACAAATACAGATTCTTAACACCTCTTCATATATACCCATTCCTCATGCATTATGTATTGATGTTTGTACTCTGAAATCACGTCTGAATAGCTGACCGGATGACATGTCAAACTTTGCTATCTCACGTTAAAGCAACACTTACCTCTTCCAAACATTCTTTATCTGAAATTGGAAATTAATATTGTCCTTCTTCCACTTTCCTATCAAGGCCACCACATATAGTATCCGTATATATTTGTGTCAAGCTTTTCAGAATATATTTGAATATCCCAGTGAATTCAAATATCACGTAGCAGTGGTGAATATGATTTGACTCCTGACTAAAATGAAAAAAGCCATGCCATTTGTTCCATGTAAGCTTCCATGGCAGGCAAAGCAATGCAAATGTATTTATACTGCACAAGCAGGTGTGCAGGTTGGGGTGGAGGTCAGGTCAGGAAACACTGAGGACAAGTGATTCTCAAATTGCTGGACATATTATTAGCTGGCAGGTTGCAGCAACAGAGCACATCAAGTCAAAAGTGTATTAAAGAGGACCGTTTATGCTACTTTTCAGGTTTAGGATTTATATCTTTCTTGAGCCTCTACTGTGACTCTATGTTTCCATGCTTTAATGTTCAAAATGTTTATATTTGTATCATACTGCCTGTGCTGCAGCACCTCTTTTCACCCTCCGTCTGAAACCAGAGCCCAGTCTGCTCTGATTGGTTAGGTGGTCGGCTCTGGTGTGATTGGTCAACCGCTTAGAGATGTGTTGGAAATGTCCCGTCCCTTAGCATATCAATCTGTTGGAGCTCTAGCCATAGAGCTCTAGCAAGTGTGATATAGCGATATTATTTAGGATAGACTTTTGTAACCTATGTGTAGTCTTCAAACCCAAACTGTAAATGTTTTTTGCAACCTTTAACTAAATCTATTACTGCTGCATTTTAGTGATATATTTTCCTCTCATCATGCCAATAAGTGTTCGTTCACCTGAGCTCCGGCAGCAGATCTGTGATTCTCCCCTTCACATCCTCCCCTCTGAAGGCCGGGGGCTGGGCCTCCGTGAAACCTTATTAGCAGCGTAACAAAGTTGTGAATTGAATGCGGCGGCGATGAGAAAGCACTTTATGACATGTGAAATCCTGTTAGGATGCAGATTAGCGTTATCTGCGCTGCACCTGTCAATAGCAATTATGAGTGGAGGGCAAGGACAGGGCAGAGCTGGACATGGAAATGCTTGTCACCAAAGAGGCCACAACCAAATACCAATATTTAAAATAAGACAGCTTGTATTTGTATGCAAGGAGTTAGCTCTGTTACAGTAGGCAGGCTGGCCCCAGGCAGTGTTGTTTTGTCATAAGGGAAGTTTTCTCCCTTTACAATGAGGAATGATTGCATTAAAAACAGAAAGCTGCCAGGAGGATTGAATAATTCAAGAAAAATAGCTGACAACCAAGGACGAGAAAAATCCTTAGTTGCGGGAAGAGGCTGAATGTTAATGGAAGTGTTGTGAAGGACAATGTCCAAATTTGCAAAACAATGCAGGCTCAATCTCTGAACGCTTGCACTCGCTTAGACGCAGAAGACCTACATACTGTATGCACACTGATCATTTGTCATCTAAAAGTTTAAACCAAAGGTTACTCACCGGAAAGACAACAGAAAATATTTGAACGGCAATTTAAGACCCTGTTTTAGCTTTTTACCTAACACCCGCTCTAACCTTAATTTAAGTTTAGCAAAGCTTCATCATAAGCCAGGAAGAAACGAATGAGTACTGAAGATTTATATTTTTCAACAACACTGAACTGCATGCAGATATTAAAGGTAGTATTGTTTTTGCGCAACTAAAATCTAACAATTCATTTTCATGAACTGAAAAGACGCTTTAAAAGACTTAACATTGTAAGGCTAAAACATAAAAGCCTCCAATCCGGACAACATCGTGGTACCCACATGTCAATCAGAAGGTAGCCCCGCACTAATGCATATCCTGCTTAATTATGTATTTGACCTTAAAGTGGAAAACCATTTACTAAATGAAGCTCATGCTGTATGGAAAAACTAGTGATTTAGATACTAAACTGATCCACAAAATGTTAACTGAGGTAGAAAATGTATTGAGAAATATGGTAATTTTTCATAGACTTCTATACAATTGGACTTCTATTTGCTAACAGTGGAGTCAGACCCTGCTATGCATGCAACATAATTAAGGTTGAATTCACTTTTTATACCTAGAGGAGGATGCCTACTTGCTGTATGCACAATGACAACAATCTAATCTTTACTGCTCATAAATCTACAATCAGAATGCATTCACACACACCACACAAAGGACTTTGCAAAGGCACAATGAGCTCATCATAGAGACAGAAAACTGCTGTGAAGACAAATGAGCGCCCAGTTGGGAAGAGATGTGGTTTTCGTTCCACGTCAAGCCTCCCACTCTCCTCCACTCCTCTCGTCTCCTGCTCGAGTTTCAAATTGCCAGCGGCTCTCACTACAGGCACAAATGTCTGGTAATTGTATGTAAAATGGCATCAGAAATTACAAATGCAACTTATCTGCAGGTGGACGACACCGCCGGAGTCTTCTCCAGTAATTGCGTGGTTAGTCACTGTCTCTGAATGTTTTCTGTAAACGGAAAATCTTACTCCCACGAGTTATGCGACCCTTCAGGCAGAACTGCAATCGCTCGAGTGAGGCATCCTACACACACCAAGCTTCATTCA